GTTTAAAGAATGATTTATGTGTGATGATTTATGAATTCAACCAAAGTCTGCTTCACTTTTCAGTGCAGCTCTTGCTGTGGGTCAGTTTGAGTCTTCACACAGTGAGCCTCCTCTGATCCATCATCAGTGTTTATTTAACTGCACATGAAATCTGAAAACTATTGTTTAGTAGTGTCAACATGAATGTGTGTGTGTGTGTGTGTGTGTGTGTGTGTGTGTGTGTGTGTATTACTCACCTGGCAGCTGTTGCATTACGCTCTGTCTAACAGCTTCATGACCCCAGTCAATGCCTAAGCTTTCAAACACTGTCCTCTCCTCTTCATCATCACTTTCTGCATTTCTTCCATTCACTTTTGTTTGATCATTGTCACAGATGCACTCAAACGCCTCTATTTCTGAATACCTGATTTTAAAATTTGTTTTAAGTTTCTTCAAACTAACGCCAAACACCGTAAAATAGGACAGTGTAGATAGTTTATTCCCCAATAAGCCCTTGTGTTTTGTTGTTGTGCAGTATCACACTCCCTGGTGTGCTGCCACCCAGTTTCTTTTCACTTCTGTGTAACACTTAATTTTTTGCTCGTCATGTTTACAGCACCCAGCTGACAGGATGCTTCATCAGCATCTGTGTGGTAGGGGAGTCAAGTCAAAGTATTTATAACAATATCAGGTTCAAATGATTTCATACACTTCACTTAGCCATCACTGACATTTCCCAAATAAATGAGTGAGCATCAGTTCATACGCTGTGCTGTTTGTTGTTGATGCTGTATCGTGCTCTGTCATGGAATACTGAGTATAAAAATACATGTACAATACAACACATACAACACAACAATACAATACAACACATACAACATAACATGTGCTGGAGAAACACTGCACCTCTGTACCTATACTATAGCACTACTTAGTGGCCATTTGTGGGACTAGAAAATGATTAAATCCAGTCTTCTAAAACAGAATCATTGTTTTTTGTTTTTTTTTTTAAATCTATTTTGTCTCTTTTAATTTTCTGCTGCTCATTTACACTGATATTCTTTGTGGGAGTGTTAATGTGTGCTGCAGCATGCAGTACTGGCAGAAGTATTCTTTTACTTAAATTAAAGTACTAATACCACTAAAAGTTAAAGGCCAGCATTCAGGGATTTAACTAAGGGAGGAACTCCACGCTAAGTTATTTTTTGCACTGTACATATAACCATATTCTTGTAGGTATATAATTACTATTTTTCCAACAACTGTGTGTAAAAACTGTCTTTGCTGCTCACATGCATCTGTCTATATTTTATAACATTCAGATAAGCTGCATTCTTGTGAAAGTAAAGTATTATTATCAAAATTATTTTGATGATATGACCAATTTTCAAAATAGTTGATGATTAATTTTGATTTAATTCGTTCTAGTAAAGATGCTCAGGATTTGCTGATTCCAGACTCGGAGAATGTGAGGATTTGCTTCAGATGTTGAACAAAACAAGTAATTAGAAGATGTCCCCTTAGCCTATGGGAAATTGTGAAGGCATTTTTCACTTGTATCTGACAAACAATTAAATGATTCATTGTAAAAACAACAACAACAACAACAACAACAACAACAACAGATAAATGGCTAATAAAAAATCACCAAGACTTAAGAAGCTGATCATATACTTTGGACGTAATGTGTAAAAGTGGGCCTACAGTATTTCCCAACATTACCTGAAATGTTGTGCAGTCAGGGGTGTCGCTGTGGGAGGGGAAGTGGAACCGATTACCCAGGGCCCCAATGGGAGGGGGGCCCTCGAAAAGCCTGGAATGAAAAGTTTGGTTTTGTTTGCATTTTTTGTATTTCAGCGTAATTAGTTTCATAACAAATTTAAAATTTGTTGAATACATTGGTTAAAAGGCCTTCTCAAAAGTGGTGTAGTGGAGGGTATACACAGGTATATGGGGTATTACCTACTTTTTCTGGATATTTACAGTATACCCACTTCCTCCTCAGTGACATACCCATCTACCCAGTATACTCCCACCTTATCAACTACCACTACACCACTGCCTCTCACCCTTAAGAGGTGCAAAATGATTTAGTCTGCCCCTGCATGAGGATTTCACTCTAAATGCTGCTAAGGCTGAGTACATGACTGCCAAAGCACCAGCGTACACTGTCATGTCTTTTTGTAAGAAAGGGAAATCGTTGTCCCAGAAAATACAAGAAAGAAGGACAGGAAAAGATAGCCAAATGACTTTGTGACAAAAAATCCAAAAGGTGTGTGAGAGAGACATGAATCAAGAGAAGAAGGGTGGGGGGCCCACAGAGACTGCTTATGCATAAGGCCCAGATTTTGATGCTATGCCCCTGAGTGCAGTTTAAGTATAGAATAGCAGAAAACAGAGATACTCAAGTAAAGAACAAGTACCTTACATTTTTCTAAGGTACAGTATTTAGTTACTGTCAAACAGCAGTGTACTTTCACCAAAATAAATTTGAGTCCAACCTGATGTATTGCCAATTATTCTGCTCTGTAGTACCACCATGACCACATGAGGGCAATATCGGAACTATACTAAGTGGTATCTTTAAATTTAGAAGCTATTTACATATGTGGAACAAAAATAATGTGAGCTGTTATGTTTAATGATTGGAGGCTGAGATAATACTGAATTGGTATTAAGGATAATTTATTGAATAATTATACTATAAACTGTGAGATGAGAAGCTTCTTTGAAAAAAGTTTTTTTTCTTCATGATGGAGGAAGGTGAATTAAATTAATGATTTGTTTATGTTATTAATGAATAATGGTTTCATAATCAGTTAACTTTGATATGAATTATAAGCCACACAATAAATGTTACTGCACTGTTTTGTGAGGTAGCCTTGCTACCTGCCATCAGACAAGCTGAGTTAATATTATTCCCTTATGAACAAGTAATACTGTCTGTACGTCAGCCTACACTGAACAAAAGTTTAAAGACAAAACCTTTTTTTGCCCTTTTATTTTTTTTGACAGGTTTAAATTAAAGATCTGAGACTTTTTTTCATACACTCCACAGATATATTTCTCTCATATTTTGGTCACAAATGTGTTAAAATCAGTGTCATTGAGCACTTCTCCTTTTCCAAGATATTCCATCCCCCTGACAGGTGTGGTATATCAAGGTGCTGATTAAACAGCATCATAACTACACAGGTGTGTCTTGATATGGTAGCAATAAAAGGTCACTCTAAAATATGCAGATTGATCACACAACACAATGCCACAGATGTCATATGTTCTGAGAGAGCATACCATTGGCATGCTGATAGCAGGAATGTCCACTAGAGCCATTGCCTGTCAACTGAACATTCATTTTACCACCATAAGACGTTTACAGTGTTGTTTCCATGTATTTAGCAGTACATCCAACTGCCCTCACAACTGCACAAGTCAGTTAGGATACAAATTGCTGTAAGGTTAAGACCCTGGTGAGGATGATAAGCATGCAGATGAGCTTCCCTGCTGCGTTTTCTGGCAGTTTGTGCAAACCAACTGTTGCATCAACTGTTTGGGTGGCAGGTCTCAGACAGTCTTGCAGGTGAATAAACCAGATGTGGAAGTCCTGAGCTGGTGTGGTTACATGTGGTCTGTGGTTGTGAAGCTGGTTGGATGTACTGCCAAATTAATGGAAACATCATTGGAGACATCTTGTGGTAGTGAAATGAACATTCATTTCAGGAGCAACAGCTCTGGTGGACATTCCTGCTGTCAGTGTGCTAATAGCACGCTCCCTCAACATCTGTGTCATTGTGTTATGTGACAAGAATGCACATTTTAGAGTCTCCTTTTATTGCGACCATTCCAAGACACACCTGTGTAGTAATGATGCTGTTTAATCAGCATCTTGATATACCACACCTGTCAGGTGGATGGGATATCTTGGAAAAAGAGAAATGCTCACAAATACAGATTAACAAATTTGTGGCCAATATTTGAGATAGTTATATCTATTAATTGGACGGATATAGTCTTAGATCAGGTGTCAAACTCATTTTAGTTCATGGGTCACATACAGCCCAGTTTGATTGCCCGGTGGGCAGGACCAGTAACGCCATTGCATAAAACCTGTAAATAACATCTCCAAATGTTTCCCTTTCTTTAGTGTAAAGACGTACAAGTACATTCTGAAAACAATCATTCATTTCCAAAAACAGATGATGAGCAGCCTTAGAGAAAAAAGTGCAATTTCAACAGTTTGCTTTTCCACATTCAGTCTACTACTCACTGTCATTACATATGCATTTTTCCATACATGCCCACTCCTGTGTAGTAGTACTGACACCACCACACCAAACTAAGGTTGCTGCTTTTTAGGAAGCAAGTTAAGTTATCCCTGCCTTACAAACTACATACAAATTAAACGTTTTGGAAGAGCCCCTGCAGTAGTGTTTCAACGATATTGTTTTTAGACAAAAGTCTAATAACGACTGTTTTGTAGCCCACTAAAGCTGCTTATTGACAACATTTTGCACAATGTTTAATATCTCTAAATATGACCCACAATAAGTATTCATTGTTATTTCGGAGAGGTGTATTATGGTCTGAGTGGAAACGCCTCTGAAGCAGCATTTTACATGAAGTAGGCTAGTTAGTATTTAACTTGCTCCTGAAACCTGGCACCTACATGCACCAATATAAGGTGTGCAGAGTCATCAGTGGTCTAGATCGGACCCTTTGGCGGGCCACTTTTTACCCACGGGCCGTATGTTTGACAACCTTGTCTCAGATTTAATCAGTTAACCCTGTGAAAAACAAAAGCGCTGCCTTTAAGTTTTTGTTCAGTAAGCTATAGATTTTAAAAACGCCCCGCCTCCGTGCTGCTCTCTCCCATGCTGTTCCCTTCTCGGCTGCTCGCACCCGCCTCTTCCCCCCAGCGGAGAGGAAGAGCAGAGACAAGTGAACAACAAGCCAAGGCAGAGAAGATAGGAAATTGCATAGGTGGGTGTTTTCTTTTTCATTCAGAGTCCCGTCGCCCAGCGCTGGGCACTTTGTTTGTGCAGTTGTTAGGTCTTTGCTCGATCGCGCCGAGGTGATTTTTTTGTCTCATCTCAACTCACTTCTTGTCCGAGCTGCGGGTCGAGGTGTGGATCGTGTCAGCGCAGCAGCAGCAGCAACAGCTCTTGGCTAGGCCTGAATCCACCTCGCAATCACTTATGGACTTTGAAAAACAAGCCTAGCACTCTCCAGAATAGGTAATGGCCTGTCTTTTGGTGTGTCGTGCTCGGTACCGCTGGTTGGGGTTTGTTGTTGGTGGAGAGAGGAGTGACCTTTAATTTGGCGAACTTGGTTGTTGGAAACGCAGCGTTAGCAGGCTAGCTACCATAGCACAAGCTAGTTTAGCGAGCATTGGTGTATTCCATTTGTTAGCATGATGAATAATTTATCTAGAGTGAGACTTGGGAAAAGTTAAGTGAAACTTATAGATGCAGTTGAACTGGATGAGACATCTGAGAATACAAATTATCCACTTTGCGTAACAAAGACTTGCTAACACAGCATTAGCAGTTTATTACATGAATGGACTGGTTTGTGGATGGCAGGTATAACGTTAAACATTACGTTAACCGTACATGTCGGGTCCTTTCTGTGTGCTGCCTTTAGACATCGAAGCAGCAAGGTTATAGTAGACTTTTCCGCCACTTTTCCCCGACCTGGGGTGTATCCAGGACAGGTCAGAGTACACGGAAGTGACCGGGCCAACCTTCTAGGACTCAAAGTCCATTCTCAGCTTACTTATCAATTTCCTATTATATATTGTACCTGAGCCGCCCACTCTCTGCGGACGGTGAAACTACGTGGTGCTATTCAGATGATCATGCTTGCATGGCGTGTTTTTTTTGGGGGGCATACTGCCTTTGACTTCTGTTCATTTTTGTGCGTTGAAAGTCCACTGTGTAAACCCACTGTTTCATGTTTCGGCAGCTGGCTTTTGATGTGGTCTGCCATGTAGAGGATGGAGACAGGAGGAGGTGGTGGTGGTGGAGCAGCGGGGGGGGGGGAAGAAGAAGAACCTGTTGTGTAGGTCTGGATGTGTGGGTGTGGTAAGGTGGCAGGCGTGTTTGTTGCTTGATCACTCAGTCCCTTGTGTTGAAGCTTGCTTAAGTCACCTTTTTGTCTTACAGTTGTTTCGTGTGCATGGATGGTGGATTATCTGGCTAAATCTGCATTAGTGTATCACTCTTGTAGTAAGCTTGTAGTATTTGTCTTTAGTTTTCAAGTGTGACATTGCACTATAACAGCATACAGATCAACCTGAGACATATTTGAGAGCTTGTCTAAAGTAACTGAATTGATTATTTGAGTTGGAATAGTCAGCTGATTGGTGGGTTTCAGTGCAGCATGGACATGCTTGTCATATTCCTCTAAATACCTTGCAGGCATGGCTGCTTTGACCTGCTGGAACAGAGATGAAGAAGATTGTGAACAAGTTTGGACATGCTGTTATCTTGGAAATGTCTCCTCTGTAATGTGTGAAAAGGAGGGGCAAAAAAATCATGAATTAGAAATATCTTTTGCTGCCCCAGAATTTGTTCCTAGCCATTTTGTTTGTGGGGGCTTAAGTCCTGCCGTTTAGCCAGTTGTTTTAACCAGGGCTATCATTTGTAAGCCTCTGTAATGACGGGCTTTCAGAGCACACCATGGGTGTGTCCCTCTGACACACAGAAGCTGGGGTTTTCTTTTACATGCTCCTCCTCTCTCTCTCTCTCTCTCTCTCTCTCTCTCTCTCTCTCTCTCTCTCTTACTGTTTCCCCATACTCACACTTTATCTCCCTTCCTCCCTCTACTTCCAACCGTTACACCTGCAGTCTGTTTTTATTTGAATGACGACCACGTCAGTTCAATTTCCAATGCAGGGGAGGACATGTGAGATGTATTATAGTAACCACAGTGAAATCAAAATGCACAGATTTGTAAACTGTGAAATGAAACTGTGGCACAGTACCTTCCCTCTGTACTGGTGGTTAACTTCTTGGAAAGGTTGAGTGTCAGTTAGCACTTTCATGGTCCTCACTGCAGCAATTTAACCTACTTCTTTGTTAAGTAGTGGTCACATTCTGATTACAAATCATTAGTGGTATAGTGTTACCAACTGCTGGATATTGGCGCTTAGTTCATTTGGCCACTTTTGGCAAAATTGCTCAATTTTTCATTTGTTATTATATAGTTTGTTATGGAGTCCATGATTCCCCCGTGACACTTAGAAATGTTTGCGTAACTGTGCTTGGATGTTGTTTTATGAGGCTCTGGTGGCTTTCAGTTGTCTCTTTGTCTTTAACGTTACACGGCTTAGCTTTCTCTCGCATGCATTCTTCCTACTTTTCTCTGTGCTGTCTCAAGTGTTGATATAGACTGGTCGTGTTGCCGCGGGACGTGGCGACTTTAACTTTTAAACGTTTACACAGCACGTCTTTCTGTTCAACGTCGCCGTACCTGACTCCAAAGTATCGCCATTTAATAGACGTTGCGTTTTTTTCCCCACCAACTCAACCTGCTCATGGTCGTGCTCATGTTCTTCTTCAGCGTCTGTGTTGGTCACTGCTGAACGCCGGCTGGTCACCTGACCATACGTGCTGCACACACCAGGATAGCTTGTGGGCGTAATGTCAACAAACTCCACACACTACAGGAGAGGTAGTCACGTTCACAGGCACACACGTTAACATTTATTTACATTAAATCACAAATGGCAGCCTTTTATGCGGTTATGTGATTGCGCAGCCTGACATCGCGATTGCGATTAGATTAATCGTGCAGCACTACATGCTGGTGTAGAGAGTTGGGGCTGTTTGTCTCAGCCAGCAGCAAAGTTTGAAGTATGTTAAGTGTCAAACTAAGTTAGTCTACATACAGACAGCTGTCATTTGAGCTTATTAGTAACAATTGGCTATCAGCTGAACTAGCGTGCTGTCCTTGTGTAAGACATAACGTTAGTGACGGTGGATGAGAGATGGGTGGACGGAGCGTATTGAATATTGCTTTCTACATGTTTACATGTTCATGCTGCTGAACACATGTATTGATAAAGTATTGGCTTCTTACACGCTAAGGATTAATGTCACTTACAGTAACGAGTGTAGCTGCCGTCAACTCGAGTCATTTTCGAGTTCGGCTGCTTGGTGGTTCACAGGTTACCGTGTCGCGTCGGTGTGTGTGTGGAGGAGTTCAGCGCTGGCAGAAAAGAACCGATAATGTCAGTGCTTATCAATACTATGGTCTCTGATAATTTAGCCCCGGGGCTAATTTAGTACTGGGTGTTGGTACCCATCCTTAATCAAAACACAAACGAAGTGAAACTTGTAGAAATCAGCACACAGCCCCGCCCCTCAAGAATTCCGGGTAATCTGAAAAGTCCTACCCCCCTACTGGGTACTTTTTCCAGGGTAAATGTGGGGTTGAGGCAGAGGTTTTTCAAAATTCCAGGTAATTGATAAAAGTTCCTGCGGTGGAAAAGGGGCTACTGTGTCAGCAGCTGTCCTTGCCAAAGAGCAGTGTGAAAGTCAGGCGCTTACTCTGCAGCAAAGTCTGGGCACCAAAACATCCCCAGAAGTACACTGCACAGCACACTGACCAGCAAAAAAAAACAACAAAAAAAAAACAAAACTTGACGCAAGGGGCAGCCCTAGAAGCCACACTGTGGTAACGTGCAGAATGTGTCTCATTATCTTGCAGGACTAAGCAGGGCCGTCTCTTAAAAAGACATCATCTGGATGGCGGCATATATTGCTCCAAATCCTGTTTGTACCTTTCAGCATTCATGATGCCTTCACAGATGTGTGTAGTTACTCATGTTGCCATGGGCACTAACACACCCCCATACCATCAAAGATGCTGGCTTTGAACTTTGAGCTGGTAACAGTCTGGATGGTCCTTTTCCTCTTGTCTGGAGGACCCAATGTCCATGAGTTCTAAAAACAATTTGAAATGTGGACTCGTCAGACCACAGCACACTTTTCCACTTTGTGTCAGTCCATCTCAGATGAGCTCAGGCCCAGAGAAGTCTGCAGGGTTTCTGGATATTGTTGATATGTGGCTTCCACTTTACATGGTCTTAACTTGCATTTGTAGATGCAGCAAGGAACTGTGTCTTATTGTCAACGATTTTCCAAAGTGTTCCTGAGCCCATGTAGTAATATCCTTTGTACAGTCATGATGGTTTTATATGCAGTGCAGCATGAGGGATCAAAGACGTGGCCATATGGTTTTCAGTGTTGCCGCTTGTGTGCAGAGATTTCTCCAGATTCTCTGAATCTTTTGATGATATTATGGTTCATAGATGGTGAAATCCATACATTTCTTTCAGCTGTGCTTTGAGGATGCCTCTTTGATACCTATTTATGATGCTATCATTTGTCACCACTTCACCTGTTTACCTGTGGAATTTTCCATGCAGGGTTCTTTTGGGCATTCAACAACGTTCTCAGTCTTTTGCTTTTTTTGGAACATGTAGCAGGCATCAAATTCAGAGTGTGTTCATATTTATGAGAAATGATCTTGTATTTGTGCTGTATTCAATAGAATATAGGTCAAAAAAGGATTTGCAAATCATTGCATTATTTTTTTATTTATGTTTTACAGACTGTACCAACTGTTTTGAAATCAGTGTTGTAGATTGGCAGAAATATAACAAACCACATTTTTGCTAATCTATGAATAATTTAAGTTAATTTGCAAGCAAAATGACCCAACATTTTCTGGTTCTAGCTTTTCAAATGTGAGGTTTTGCTTCTTTTTGTATGTCCATACCATTGTAAATTCAATATCTTCTTACTGTTGACAGGACAAATCAGGCAATTTGAAGATGTCACCTTTGGCTCTGGGAAATTGTGATGGGCAATTTTAGTCTAACTTCCTTTAATGTACTAAACAATTATTATCACAAACCGTAGAATATTCAGTAATGAAAATCATTAATTGCAACCTTATTTGAGACAATATTTTAGATGACATCATGTCTCTTTATTGTTTCACTCAGCTAGAAGATTTTTTTATTACCTAACTAATGCTGCATTTAACAGTTTGAAAAGACAACATAAATCTTTATTGTGATATTAAAATGACTGAAAACCCACAGGATTTACAGCCTCCCATCAATATTATATCCATTTACAATTATATCCTTTTACAGTCTTAGTTCTGTCTAGGTGACCATATACTTATTACGGAGTGCTCTGTTTTTTTTTTTTGTTTGTTT